GTTTAAGTTCACTGGCTTTGGGTTGGCTTATTTTTTTACAAGAAGTCCACTAGCTCTAGCTTTGTATGTAAAGTTCCAAGCTTAGAAGCCACCAGTCTTGATTTGGCTATACATCATTGCTTTGAACTTCCTTGAAAACCAGACATCTGGCTTCATTTTGATGCCTCCTAATGCAACTTGCGGTTGCATTGCTGTTGTTTTGATGTCTGGTTCAAACTGTATTTTTGTGCTTGCTTTGCCACAGGGTTGACATTGATGTATTGCCCACCAGAAAACAGGATTCCAATATGATATTAGTGCCTCTCAATGTAAGGGGTGTAGTACAAGTTGATGCTGCTTCTGTAAAATGGATAATCTTTCTCAGAAACTGGACTTAGGAGGATTACAGTGATTGGTATCTGTTTTGTCATGTGCATCCACTGAAGGACAGCACCTCATAGATCGCCCAGATAGTGACAGATTTTGCAGGCTTTGACATCCTTACATAGCCTATTGTTATCTCACTAATGTTTAAAACTCCACCTTATCCCTCTGTAATCTTTCATCCCTTGCTGGCATGCATATTGATGGCCTCCCAATCTCTCTGTATCAGTACCTGTCAGTGTGTAAAATCCTACCCTACCCTCAAATCATGGCTTGTGGGCAGGTGAACAGTGCTGTAGCTGTTCCCTGTCAATAAAGGTTTTTGCACCCAGGGAGTCCATTTTAATTACTTATCTTCAATATGTGTAACTGCCATTATGGCATCATAGCTTTTATGATATTTTTGTCTGTAATCTGATTAATTAGATGATTGCAAAACAAACATCCATCAGTCTTGAGCATTATCTTACATCATGGATTAGAAGACCAGCATAGCACAACGCACAATTTCTTTAGAGGCACTAGTTGGTTTTGGAATGTTTCTAGGCCTGACTTTGTAGTTATATGTAGTTATATCATGTTTTGACTCCAGTCAAAAGCATTTTGTAAGACCAGGTACCCCCAAATTCAGAAGAAGGCTCTTGGCATGGCTCAATGTTGAAAGAATGAACACTACCCCAAATATCGGCAGACAAGCGCTTGTAACACAAAATCACTAATCGGCAATCAGCGTGTTTGCTCAGCATTAGGGGATGTCGATCGTCAGGGGTCGTGTCGTGTAGGGCAAACAAATGCGCTTTTCACACAGGTGAACCTGTATAACCAAGTGCTGACCTTGACAAGTGCAAAATGTACTCCAAACAGGCTACTAATTGCGTAAAAACGTTCGATGTGTAGTACTTAACATGTTCGTGATGGTGCCTAGTAGTCATGGTAGCCATTTTCTTGGCGCCGAACCCAGTGGTTTCTTTTCCTCACCTGGTGTTGTCATTTCAGGTACCTGACGTTCACAATGATCGTGGACAAGCCAGAAATACTGAAACAATGGATGACGGAGACGATGGAACCGCTTGTAAGTTAAGCGCACGGCACATGTAGCTTAAGAAGGCGCGTCGTCTTATGAACGATACCCGAACACCAAGGGTCCGCGTCTGGCAGAACAGTTGAAGCAGTTATCAAACAGTGTTCCTTGCACATTTAACAATATGTAGATATTTGGTAAGTGTCAGCAGTCAAGAGGTGGTTAGGAACAGTTCTATTTTCACCGAGAGGCTCATGACGGTACTTCTTGTTCCCAAGCAGAGTCTTGTAAGTCTGTCCATCGGCCTCCCGTTGACGGCCACGGGTAGTGTTCGTGGGGCTTCCGCTCCGCCAGTGTGTGTCGGTCTGGTCGCCGCGACAGAGCTGGCCCACCTTGAGCTGCACTGACCCGAGCCTCCGCCGCCAGCTGTGATGCCGAGCCGGGCAAGCTCGCCAAGTACGTGCTAGCGCTCATCAAGAAGGACATGCCGCCGGAGCAGCTGCGCGAGAGCATGAAAAAACAACTTGGGACATCTTCCTGCATGACCAGGCGGCGCCATTCGTGGACCAGCTGTTCGCGACGCTCGAGTCCAAGTCGTACATGCCACAGGCGTCGCCCGACTCCACCACGCAGGCCGGCGGCCCGCGCAGCCGCCGGCGGCGGCGGCGGCACCGGGGCCGGAGCCGGCGCGGCGGCGCGTGGAGCCGGAGCCGGCCGGCCGCGGCCGCGGCGACCGGCGGCCCAGCTCACGGCCCCGCGAACCGCGACGACCGGCCCGAGCGGCCCGAGCGCAAGCGCTCGTGGGAGGAGAGGCGCCGCCGCTCGCCGCCCCGCGACAGACGGTCAGTGTCGAGCGGCGATGCTCTGGCGGGTTGCCACCGCGGCCGCGTGCCCAGACGCGCCGAGCGCCGGCTGTGCTAGTTCCGCTGTGGGAGCGGCAGTATATTGGCAGTGGCTGGTGGTCCGTTTCAGTGTTGTGACTTTGTTCCGTGCTGTGGCAGCTGTGATGTGTTGCGAACACGCTGCGCGGCGCGGCACGTGTAACCGGCCTGCCGTCGTCGCCAGGTTACGTCGCTCCCGCTCGCCCCCGCCCATGCGCGTCCGGACCAAGTCCCGGTCGCCGCCTCGTACAAAGTCCAAGTCGCCGGCCAAGAGCAAGCCGACGCGGACCTCTCGCAGCCGCAGCCCGCGCTCGCCCCGCTACAACCGCAGCAAGTCACCCAGTGAGTCACGGCCCGCTCCGTAACGGCGCCGGCGGCCGGCCTCGCGGCAGCGCATGCTAATGGTCCGGCGCCATGCGCCAGTGTTGTCTGGTTCGGTGCGGTCTGCAGGCCAGGTGCTGTGGTGGCCTTGCAGGGGGGGGGGGGGGGGCACGCATGACCGGGGGTGGTGTGCGGCTTGTCCTGCGCCAGGCGCAGGAGTGTAGTGTGTATTGCGGAGATCATGGATCCCTGGTGGCATGTGCGTCCCACGTGTCGTCGCCCGTCGCCTGGCCGAAGCCGGCCCGCTGGGATGTACGGCGACTGTGACGGTGTGGGCGCCGGTGACCGGTGCGCCCGTGCCGCCTGTTGCAGTCAAGTTCGACCGGTCCCCGCCGGCGCCTCCCGAGCCGGAGAAGCCGCGCGAGCCGGCCGGCCCGCCCGACCTGCGCCAGAAGCTGAACGCCGCCGTCAAGCAGCGTTGTTCGCGACTACGACGGTACGTCAGACTCAGGGGGGCGGGCGGCGCCTGGTTCTCCTGTAGTCGGTGCCCTTTTGATCTGTAGGCACTTGTGTAATGCCCGTTGCGAGAAGCCAGCATGAATTATCTCTTACAGTAATAATTGCATGCGGTCATTCCTTGCCACGTACATATTATGGCATGTGTCAGTTGATCCGCGTAGGTGGGTTGCACCAGTGGCGTGCTGCGTTTTTCTCTTTGGTTGACGTCCCGCTAGCGTTGCTTAACGCACAGCCGTGACGTACTGGCCCCGGGGCCTACGGCGTCACGTGCGGCTGCTCTGACCGGGGCCGTGCCGCCCCGTGTTGCAGAGAAGGGCTTCTGCATGCGCGGCGACCAGTGTCCGTTCGACCACGGCGCTGATCCGGTGATCTTGAAGGACGTGTCGCTGCCAGGAGGTGCTGAAGTACAGTCAGCCGCCGCCGGCCGGCGTGCCGGCGCCGGTGGCGGCGCCCTCGGCCGTGCCGGCGCCCCCGCCCTTCAACCCGCTGGTGCAGCCGCCGCTGCCGCGGCCGCCCATTGTCGGTTAGTAGCGCCGTCGCTCGGTGGGGTGTGGTGCGCGCCGCGGGGGGCTGGACCGCGGGTTTGAGGTGTCGTGGCGAACAACGCGATGTGGTTTGTGGCGTTCACAGCGGTCGCAAGGTTTCTCCTGTAGTCAGTTCTGAATGTGCTGTTTCCGTGTTTGTGTGGTAGTTGAGCGATTGTTGGCTGCTGGTAGTGGAATTCGTTTGACGGCGGGCTGCTACACTCGGCCGGGTGGTGCCCCCAGGGCGGTATCGCGGACGCTGCGCCGTCCCCTAGAGCGGCACCTCTGACCGGCTCGCCCGCAGAGCCGGTGTTGTCCCCCAGAGCGGCACCTCTGACCCGGTTCTCGCCCGCAGAGCCGGTGCTGTCCCCTAGAGCGGCACCTCTGACCGGCCCTCGCCCGCAGAGCCGGTGCTGTCCCCTAGAGCGCACCTCTGACCCGGTTCTCGCCCGCAGGCCGGTGCTGTCCCTAGAGCGGCACCTCTGACCCGGCCCTCGCCCGCAGAGCCGGTGTTGTCCCCAGAGGGCACCTCTGACCCGGTTCTCGCCCGCAGAGCTGTGCTGTCCCCTAGAGCGGCACTCTGACCCGGCCCTCGCCCGCAGAGCTGGTGTGTCCCCTAGAGCGGAACTCTGACCCGGCCCTCGCCCGCAGAGCCGGTGTTGTCCCCAGAGCGGCACCTCTGACCCGGCCCTAGCCCGCAGAGCCGGTGTTGTCCCCCAGAGCGGCACTCTGACCCGGTTCGCCCGCAGAGCTGGTGTCTGTCCCCTAGAGCGGCACCTCTGACCCGGTTCTCGCCCGCAGAGCCGGTGCTGTCCCCTAGAGCGGCACCTCTGACCCGGCCCTCGCCCGCAGAGCGGTGTTGTCCCCAGAGCGGCACCTCTGACCCGGCCCTCGCCCGCAGAGCCGGTGTTGTCCCCTGAGCGGCACCTCTGACCGGCCACTCGCAGCAGAGCTGTGCTTGTCCCCCTAGAGCGGCACCTCTGAACCCGGCCCTCAGCCCGCAGAAGCCGGGTTGTACACCAGAGGGCACCTCTGACCCGGTTCTCGCCCCGCAAGGACGGTGCTGTCCTAGAGCGGCACTGACCCGGCCCTCGCCCGGCAGAGCCGGTGTTGTACCCCCAGAGCGGCACCTCTGACCCGGTCCTCGCCCGCAGAGCCATACAACCCGGACGCGCCGAGCCTGACGGTGGCGGCGCCGGCGCCGGCGCCCGTCTGGTGCCGATGCCCAACTACTCGCGGCCGCCGCCGCCGCACCCGCGGCCCTTCTTCGCCGCGGCGGCGACGGCGCCGACGCGCGAGCTGCTCAGGTGCCGGTGAACGGGCCGCTGGCGGCGCCGGGCGGGCTCGGGCCGCGGCCCCGCCACCCCTACCAGTCGACCGACCGGTGGGCGGGCCGCGACCAGGTGAGTCGGCCCGCGGGCCAACGCCGGTCAGACGGCACGGGGGTGGGACTGAGGGGAGACGTGTGCAGGCGGGGCCGATTGTAACGGAGCTCATACGGTGCTGGTGGCGTACGGCCCGGGAGCGCGATGCATGCGGGTGTTGAGCTGCGTATCGTCCAATGTTGGATGCTGCCGTGCTCTGGTGACAGCGTCTGCATCACGTCTGTGGTACGGCTGTATGGCAGGCATGGCCTGACGCGACTACGACCACTTAGCTGAGGTGGTTGTGGATTCGGGTGTGTCCTTCCGTCCCGCCGCGCCCTGTTGGCCTGGATATGTGGCCTGACCTGGCCTGGTCTGACCTGACCTGACCTGACCTGGCCTGACCTGACCTGACTTGACCTGTCATGACCTGCCCCGCCTAACTCCAGAACGAGCCGCCGAGGAAGCGGGGCCACTTCGACATGGGCCGGCTGGGCGGCGGCGGTCGGCCCCGCTTCGACCCGACCAACAGCAGCCTGGAGCTGCGCAAGGTGCCCGCCGGACTAAACCAGATCATCCACCTCAACAACCACTTCGCCAAGTTCGGCAAGATCACCAACATCCAGGTGAGCGCAGCGGTGCGGGCCGGGCAGCCGGGACCGCGTCGTCCAGGTTGGGAGCCGCATGTGCGCCCTTCGTGCCGTGGCCGGCTCGGCATTGGCTCAACTCATGTGAGCTCCACGCGGACTTGCGCTGGAGGCTGCTCTTGGGTAATCGATTGCGACTCCGACCGGCGACTGTGCAATCGGTTTGGACTCAAACTTCGGGTAGTAGCTTAATACCGGCTGCGATTGGGCTCTTGCTCCAACTCAGGGGATATTGCTCAATTCCGGAATCGATTTCGGTGTCCAACGCTCCCTCGGTAACCACTAATGGGCTGCACCGCTGGCAACAGTTGATACATTGTTGGCTAATAACAAGACAGGCTGAGCTGCATTTTCGACACATGTAAGAGCTATTAGAATAACAATAGCCCTTGTCGCGTACGTTTTTAGTTGTCGGCCTGTCACCAGTACAGTAAGGCCCTTATTCCAACGATCAAGTTTGACAGGAAGTGATTTTCACCCTGACTCTACGAGAGCTGCTGGTTTCGGAGTTGAATGCCGGCGCCACCCGGAATCGCTCACAGGCCGGATGACGCGGTGTTCGCGCATGACACGCACTGCACGGGGTGGATCTGAACGGCCTCCGAAGTGTCCAGGGTGCCTGCTGTCCCCCGATCTGGGAGGCGGGACGGCGCCGACCGTCCGACGTCCGACGTCTGGCGTCGGCCCCGCTGACGGCGGCCGCTCTGTCCTCCGCAGGTGTCGTTCAACGGCGACCCGGAGGCAGCTCTGGTCACCTTCAGCAACCCGGCCGAGGCCAAGGCGGCCTACAAGTGCACCGAGGCCGTGCTCAACAACCGCTTCATCAAGGTGTTCTGGCACAACAAGGAGCGCGAGGAGGCCAGCCGGCCGGCGAGGTGAGGGCTCGACTCGGCGGCTGACCCGGCGTCTGGCCGGCGCGCTAGTGTGGACCGCTCCCCGACCCAACGGTGGGGCCGTGTTGCCCACTAACATGCCGCTGGGGCGTGCTGCGGCGAGTGCGGCGTCTGGGGGAGGAGGTGGACGCAGGAGTCGAAGGGCCGGCGGTGGATGAATGTGGCTGTGCTGTTCACGGTACTTCTGAAGCGTGGACAGGCTTTGGTGGGCGTTTCCGCCGTGCTGTTGTGTGTTGTCCGGCGTGTTGTGCGTTGGCGGGCGTGTTGTGTGCTGACAGACGTGTTGTGCTGTGGTTGGCATGTTGTGCTGTGGCAGGCGTGTTGTGCGTATTTGGCATTGGTGGGTAGCGAAGCGCCGGCCTCTGCTGGGGATCTGGAGAGTGCTTACAAAGACACGGCGTACCGTAGTTGCCTGTCAGTGTGACGTCAACAGATGAGCGAAGTAGAAGGTGAAATATGTGCGTGCAGATGTGCGCGTGAGCTTAAGTTACGGCACAACGCAGTGGTCAGCCGAGCGGCAGACGAGCGCTCCAGTCTGCCGTGCTGTGTCGCAGCGGTGCCGTCCGGTCAGCCTGGACCGCGGTGGGGGTTGGTGGGGGGGGGGGACGGGAGGGGTGGGGGCAGCGGACGAGCAGGCGGGGAGGGGGCGGAAGCGGAACCGGGCGGAGCTGCGGCCGCCTGACCTGAGGCGGCGCTCTGGGCTGTCGCAGGCGCTGAACGGGGCGGCGGTCCGGGCGCCGGCGCGCGCGCGGCTGGGCACGGCCGGCGGCGGCCCGGCGCCTCCGCTGCCCACCACCGAGCGGGTAATGCCCTGGCCGCTGGAGACGCGACCCGAGCCTGCCTGGCCGCGGCCGCGCTCTGCTCGGCAGGCCGGCCACGCTCTAGTGCTCAGGCGGGGGAGAGGCGAAACAACCGGGCGTAGCTAGTGCATGTCGTCCGCGGCTTTGCCTGCGTTCCGGACCCTTTCCCTGCATGTCTGCTGACTTGGTGTGACGTGTGTCCCATTCTCTTACACACTTATTTCGTTGATTTCTCCGCATTTCTTCACACATTGTGTATTTGTTTTCAGAGGATTTATTAGTGTCACTAATCCTTTGGCATTGGTCTCCGTTGATTGCCAGTCCACATTTCGTTGGCTTTAGTTTCGGACGCATGGCTGCAATGCGTTGGGCGCGTGGTCATGTGTCAGCTGTTGGGCTAGGACTTCTTGAGTCGGGTCATGACTAGCGCTCGTCTCCGGTACCGGCCTTACGAGGACTTGTTTGGGATCTGAGAAAATCTGTTGGTTTTGCCGCATGCCGGATGTGGCAGTCATCTGTGAGTTTGTTCCTCTGTTGGCTAAGATGGTCATCGTAAGAGTTCCCTTCAAAGCATGGTCAGTGTTATAATAAGTAGCCAGCTGAATTAGTGAGGGACATATGTTCTTGGTTCCGTACGCCCTGAGCTAAATCGTGCCGGAATTTCGGAGGCTGCTCTCAATGGATTCAAAAGCTAATCATGAGTCTGGTTTGCCCTGGCAAAGATGTTCAAAAATAATCTTGGTTTCACGGCAGTAGCTCAAAATGGTGACGTTTGTCTTGAAGTTCAGATCCTTCCAATTGACCATATGGTGTCTGAGCTCTCCTGGCTTCTGACGAACATGTGGGAACGCACCTGGATCTGGGCGATCCGTGGTGACCCGAGGGCATCTGTAAGCCGGGCTCCCAGGGGCGGCAGACAGCGGAGCAGAGTACTGCGTGGGCGCACGCTTGGCGGGCAGATGCCGTCGCCGCGCGCCGGCGGTGTTCGCCGGTGACCGTGTTTCGATGTACTGCCGCCAGGTGGTGATGTCCGGCGGTCAGCTGATGCGCACAGTCACCAACCCTGAGGTGCTGAAGCAGCAGGCCGAGCAGCAGGCGGCCGCCAAACAGCAGGGCATCGAGGCCATCAAGCACAGCCAGCAGATGTTAGCCGCCAAGGTGACGCTGCAGGCCAAGCAGAAGGAGAAGCAGAAGGTGAGCTGGCCGACCGTCCCACGCGGTACGGGACCATGGGGAGGAAGGGGGGAAGGAGAGAGGCTGCGCTGCTGAGGCGCAGCCGACTTGCTCAGTACGAATGGTCGAAGGCGTGAAAACTGCTGGCGGTCAGTTCTGGCGCTTCCCATGGACGTGCGGATGATGCTGGAAAGTGTCATGTCTGCCTATCGCCGTCCGCCGACCCGGCGCTGACCCCGTATGACCTTCGTGACGCAGGAGGCGCTGAAGCTGGCGGCCGACCTCAAGAAGCGCAACTCTGACCTGCTGGAGAAGCAGCTGAGCCAGCAGAAGGCGCTGCTGGTGCGCCTGGAGAGCAAGACGCTGAAGCCGGAGGAGCGGAGCACGCTCATCACCACCGTCAAGTCGCTGCAGGAGGCGATCGTTGCAGACGCGCGCCGTCATCTTCGCCTCCATGGAGCGGGAGCCGAGCGCGCGTGGCAAGGATGCGGTACGTCCCCGCCGAAACACCGACTATGCTCCTCCCGCAAGCGCCGCGCCACTTTCACTTTTCCTGACGTAGAGTGCTGCGGCAGGCACCACTGCGGCACCACGCCAGTGCTAAGCGGTGCGCTAGCCTGCAAACTGTGCTCACTGTGCCAGCTGTGCTAACAAACGCCATCGGAGCAATGGTGTGCGTTTGTCGGCTTTGGTAAAAGCAGCAGCGGCTTATGCACGCTGCCGGCCGCGTGGTGTGTTCAGCTGTCCCGCTCTGGCCGCCGGCCGCTGCTCCCGCCACGCGCGCTGACCGCGGCCGCCCGTCGCCGCCTCCGCAGGCCGAGCGGGAGGTGCTGGACGCCGAGATGGACCTGTACCAGAAGCAGCAGGCCGGTGTGGACACGAGCGAGCTGCAGCAGCGCGTCATCGAGATGCGCCAACAGCTGATCGCGTCGCGCGGCCGCGGCCGCGGCCGGGGCCGGGCCCCGCCGACGCGCGGCAGGTCAGTAGACGGCGGCACTGTGAGCGGCCGCGCGGCCGTGTCCGGGCACGCGGCGCGCCGTTGGGAGCGTTGACGGGGCTGGTGTCGCCGCTGTGATACTGGCCAAGTGCGGGCATCTCCCCCGCAATACCTGTTTGTGGTGTAGACCACGTGTCCATTGTAAAACAGTTCCCGGCGTGTTGAGGTCAATGTGTCCATTGTGGATTCGTTTTAGTCTTTAAACCCGATGACCCTCATAAATATATGCACCCTGTCGCTGTTCCTGTACCTCTGGTGTTGCTCGTGCGTCCATTATCCTCTCTTGGTTCGTTGAACCTCGAATCTTCCTTGGTTGTCGGTGAAACGGAGAACCCCAGTTATTATTATTGTCATCACACCCTGAGCTTACCTATGAGACCAGTTCGAGTATTCTGATCGTAGCCCGTGGTCTTTGCACGTGCCATCCGGGTCCCTCCGGGCCGTGATCACTCCAAGCCGGCGGCCTCCGCTAGGTTGGTATTTGGTAGCGCTCGTTTGCTGGCCGACGCCAGTGGCCGGTGTGTAACGGTGGCCTTCTGCGTCGGCCTTCGGGCGTTGTGTGTCGGCCTGTCCGTATCGCTGGGCTTCAGCGGACGTCGCGCTCCCGCCCTGCACGTTCGCGTGCGGGAGGGCGTGCTTGCGTGGGTGGGGTGCCGCCCGCCGTCTGACGCTCGCCCGCCTCCGCGCAGGGGTCGCGGCCGCGGCGGACCGGGCTTCGCGGTCGGCCACCCGCGCCCCACCACCGTCGACCGGCGGCCCACCAAGTTGACCGTGTCCGGCTACCAGCCGGACGAGAAGACGGCGCTGCCTCGCTCACCTGGCGGTGAGTGGACGCCACGCTGCCGCCGGCTCAGGTGGCTCCGCCCAGCCGACCACGACACGGCCGGCTTGGCTGTGTGCGTGTGTGCGTGGAGGTGCCGCTCGCGACTGGCCACCGGAGAATGAAAACGTTGCCGGTCTTTCCGGATGTCGCCACGGCCCCGCCCCGGCTTTCCTGTCCGTCCCGTCCCTCTTACACACACGCACGCACGCACGCACGCACGCACGCACGCACGCACGCACGCACGCACGCACGCACGCACGCACGCACGCACGCACGCACACGCACGCACGCACGCACACACACACACACACACACACACACCACACACACACACACACACCACACACGCACGCACGCACGCACGCACGCACGCACGCACGCACGCACGCACGCACAATCGTTAAACACTCCTGGTTTGGCGTCCCTGGCCAGCTTGTTAATTCTTGTTTTACGACGTTATGTTGAGCTGGGGTCCAGCAAATCCCTGTTGTGTTCTGTACTGTGTGGGCGTCGCAGCGGACGGCGGTGTGCCCGTGCATTGACGAGCGTCAGCCGGCGCTCGGACTGCCACCCGTCCCCGCGGTCTCCCCGGGCGGCGCCGCGCGTCTCAAACGCTCCGCTCCTCGGCAGCAATTCGGCGAGATCGTCGACTACAAGCAGGACGCGGCCACGCCGTCGGTGGTGGTGACGTTCCGCGCGCGCCAGGGGGCGGAGGCGGCGCTCAGCCGCGGCCGTCAGTTCAACGACCGGCAGCTGACGGTCGCCTGGTGCGCGCCGCCGGCAGCCGCGCCCGCCACCCCGGCCGCCGCGCCCACCGCCGCCGCCGCTGCCGCCGCCGACACCGCCGACGCCGCCGACGCCGCAGACACCGCCGCTGCGATCAAGGTGGGCACTCCGTCGCGCTGGCCTGTGGCTGCGTGGGAGCGCTGGCAAAAGTGTGTGGACATTAGTTGTTTGGACAAACTTTGGGAGTTCTTCATACAGCCAAATACGCTAATGGCAGCAGCAAACTGTATACAGGATTGATGTGTCGCTGCAGGGCCGTGCAGTCGATGCGCTCTAAAGTCCAGATGACCAACCAACCTCACCAGCAGTTAAGGTCACTCAGTTATTGAAATGGACGTCATGTGTATCAAGCGGCCGGCGAGCCGGACAGCCAAAATAATCTCTCAAGGACGTGGTCCGTGCGGGCTCGTGGCGCGAGTGCTGTCGCCGATCCGCCGCGTCGTTTTGGGAGGCACCCACGGGTCGATGGGGGTGACAGCAGCGTGCGGTGACGCCGCGGTGTTATGTCGGGGCGAACGTGCCAGCCGTCCCCGTGCACACTGCAGGATCACCCCCTAAAGCCCTCTGCTGGGCGTGGCTGGAGGAAACAGGGGCGCCTCGCGTCCCACCAGGGACACGTACGGGCTACGCCGCAGCGGCGTTGTCTCGCCGGCGTGGCGTGAAGCTGCCAGCTCTGGTCAGAAGACCGAGTCACTGGCCGGGCGGTGCTGGTGCGGACAGGGAAGCGGCGTCTTCAAAAGCGGCTGCTCTCGGATTAGATATACCGTCGATGCTGGCACGTCCGCGGCAGAGGGAAGCGGCGTCTTCAAAAGCGGCTGCTCTCGGATTAGATACACCGTCGATGCTGGCACGACCGGGGCAGAGCTCAGAAGCGTGACATCCTTTGGGAGAAGTTGCTGCTCAAACGAGTGGTTCCTCCGGGATGGTTGGGACACAGTCGCACATCATTAGAAACGTCCGCACGTGGCCGATGTGAACCCCTTGGTTCGCTGATACGTCAGACCCATTAAACGGATGCCGACGGTTGTTTTGTTTTGTATTTGTGTTGTGTTTTTGTGTTTGTGGTTGTTTTGTTGTTGTAACAGTTAATGCGTCTGCGTTAAGCACTGCGCGTCTGGGAAACCAGAGGTACGGTGTTCGATTCCCCGTGGTGCCCGCCCTTCTTGTCAGGGCGAAAGGCAGGCGATGCCATATAGTCCGGCAGCTGAGCGCGTCGCAAAGCCCCGGGCCGTCGACAAGACGCATT